AAAATATGTGGTTGTATACGTCGTTGCCTGTACCTGAAGCATCTTGAATGGATGTCAGCATGGACTTTGTACTAGGTCTCCCCAGGACACAGATGAACAAACATTTTGTCGTGGACCGATTTTCTAAAATGACACATTTCGTACCCTGTCACCGCACACTCGACTCCTCACATATTGCTGACTTACACTTCAGAGAAATTGTTAGATTACACAGGATCCCCAAAGCTATTACTTCTGATAGGGTTGTTAGATTTCTGAACCATTGCTGGCTTCAACAGTCCATCCAAAAACAGACGGTCAGATAGAAGTGGTAAGTAAAAGCCTGGGAAACTTATTGAGATGCTTTGTGGGAAAGAACATCAAATAATGGGATTTCATTCTCGCTCAAGAAGAATTCTCTTACAACAGATCCACAAGTCAGACAACGGGACACAGTCCATTCGAGATTGTCTACGACCACAATCCACTCACACCGCTTGATTTGGTTCCACTTCTACCACCGTTAGAACTCAGTCAAGTTGCTATAGAACGGGTTCACCAAAGTTTGGCAAAGAGATTGCTAGACAAAACAAAAATATCAAGCGCAGCAAACAAATCAAGGAAAAATGTGACATTCAAAGAAGGCAATATGGCCTGTATCCGATGGAAAAAGGAACAATTCCCCGTACGAGCTGTCGAAAAATTGAAACTCAGAGTAGATGGACCTTTTAGAATTTCGTGGAAACTCAATGACAACGCATACAAATTTAACTTACCAGGCGACTACAACATTTTAACCACCTTCAACTTTGTCGATCTTACTCCGTACTTTGAGGATCTAGAAGCTTCGACAATCGAGGTCGAAGCTCACCAACCTTGGGAGACTGATGCGTAGTTCCTAGGGGGTCGACCGGGCATGGGTCCATCCCAACTGGACCTGCTGGCCCCTTGGAGTGGGGCCCATTGTTTCTCCTTCCACATTCTCCTTTCCTTTCTCCAATCTCCTTCTTGCTTTTTCCTTTCCTTTCTTTCTTCCTAGGCCTTTCCTAATTCCAAAATCTTCCTAAAATACTGAGATCTGATTTTATTTTCTCTCATAAATTAAAAACATTTCCTAAAAGCCTAAAATCTGAGATCTAATTGTATGCTATTTCTTAATTTAATGTTTCCTAATTAGGTCAAATCTCTTTTATAAATAGGAGCTGTTGTTTCTAGAGTTAGAGAGTTGAGATCTAATTTTAGCTCTAGCTCATTGCTTTTCCCTTTGAGGGCTGTATCCGACGACAAAGAAGGTGCTCCGACTATAACCCCGTCTGAGGTGGTGGTTTTCTTCATCTTTCCGACCACTTTTCGTCCTCCAGCAGCTCGCCATCATTCCAGCCATTCTAGCGATTCAACAGGTAACTTCCCTGCCTTCTTCTGTCTTCCCCAGTGTCACGGGATCCTCCACCTCCTCCCTGCAGGGTGCCACATCCTTGTTGAAGGCTGTGTAAACAAGCAGAACATGACGAGCCCAGGCATTGTTCATGTTCGACTCGTACGATTTAAAATTTATTCAAAATAAGCACATGTTAGAAATTGGCTCATGAATAGTGTGTTTGTGTTTGGTTTGAATTAAGTTTGATGTGTTTGTTTTAGGCTCGTGTTCGGCTCGAAATGACCTATAAATTATAAAAATAATATTTTTAATTATTTATTTGATGAAATAATAAAAATTCATTATTTAACTAATACAAAAATTCATTATTTAAGTATTAAAAATATTCATTTATTGAAATGAAAGATTTCAAGTACATATTTAAAATTAAGGCTCAAATTCAACAACGAAAAAAAAAAAACTCTTCTTCATTATGATATAAAACTACTCTTCTTCATTTTGATTAAAAAAAAGAAAAAAAAAATCAATAAGACAAATGCATTCATCAAATTGCAACGTGGTGCAGTAAAACAAGAACCAGAGATCAGGTAAGCCAGCAAAGAAAAAACAGAGGATAAATATTAAATAGTAAGATGCACTATGGCAAAACAAATGCATAGAAGATAAATTAATCTTGAAAGAGCAATACAATGGAAAGCAGCAGGGGGAGTGGAGCAAGGAAACGTGGTGGTTGAAAAGAGAAAAATAAAATACCTCCCTTTTGCTAGTTTATAGTGACTCTTATGCAATATTCAATGCTTCTTCCATGTCATGTAAAAAGTTGTTAATCAACCAGTTGCCACTTGCCATATCCCTTCTTCCCATAGCAATAGACACTATTAGACACAATTTGTTACTGGTATTAGCATGTATAAATTGCAAGAATAAAATTTGATGAGTTAAATAATCATAAAAAGTTCCACACATTCTGATTTCTGAGAAACAAACATGTTTTTGAAGTTAGCGAATACTCTTTTCAATTATAATAGAATGTCAAACTGTTGTAAAGTTATAGAAAACTAGATCCACAAAAGATAATGATAACCCAAATCAGATCCACAACAAAATCATAAAAAAACATAAAAAATTTGAAATATAATATTCTAATAGCAAGTTAGCAACACTGCATAAACTAATAACGGATCTATATAATGCTCAAGAATGCAGTTTAGAATTAATACTTTGAAAAATAGGTTCGTATAAAAAGCATCATTCCTGACTTTGCTAAGCTGGACACCATTGTAAGAGTGAGGCAAAATCCTTCAGAAACATAGTATAAATCCATTGCTTTCTAGGGATGGGAAGTTCCAAACTTTATGGGTTGGAATTCACATTTCTAAAGGAAAAAAAAATGTAGTGATATATGGATCCAGATCTCAGAAGGAATCGGGGGTAAAACATCACATCTCGAACAACCCTTGTCGGTTGTAATCCACAAAACAATCGCAAGATAGAAAAAAAATGAAGAAACAGTTCTCAAAGTACCTTCTCAGTGTGATCGTCGACTTCTTCACAACCTTTCTTCATTGAGTGATAAAGTAAACTCACCTTGGTTGAAGCTCTAGGGACAAAAAGAAATGCAGTGTCGCAGCCTTGCCCCCTCACGACACAACTAGGGCACGAAAGAAAAAAGTGGGGCGGCTTGAAAGTCAGGGTTTTTTAGTATATATAATTATTTTTTTTAATAGAATAAAATTTGAGATGGTTGATTTGATCCAATGGCCGAGACTAATTTCAGATTTTTTTAAAAATCATTTAAATGCTTTAACATATTTAAATATATATATTTCAAATAAATATATCATAAAACTTTAATCTAAAAATATTGTAGTTATATTATTTTTAATTATTTGTTTATATCAAGTTGAACATGATCAAATGAAGGACTGTTCGTGCTCAGCTCGTTTGGAAATCGAGTTAGAAAAACTTGTTCGTGTTTGGCTCGCTTGTTTAACAAACGAATCAAACACGAGCTACTTACCGAGCTGAACACGAGCTGTTCTCGAACAACGATATTTTTTGATAGCCCTACCTGCTGCTTTTCCAGGAAGCCACCAGGCCTTCTATTGATTCATTGTAGGACTGCGCCAACTTCTCCCTGCGCCGCTCCAGATTACCGATTTCTGCAACTCTATTTGGGTCCTCCCAAGTGGCCCCTGGCCCATTGGAGCTTACTTGCAGATAGTTCACATCTAGCTGCTGCCTTCCCGCGTTGTTACAATTCCCTGCAGTCCCTCACAAGTCACTGTAGTCCCCTGTTGTCCTCTTAGAATCGTCGACTGCTCTCTTGCAACTTCCTTGAAGTCGTCACAGCTCGGACCACCTCCCAAACAGTAGGTAGCCGCCCTTCCAGGTCTTCCGCAGCTCCTCCAATTGTTGTCACCAGTCGTTCTAGTTGTGTTTCGACGCCGAAACCATCATCAACCTGCTGTCATACGTCTTCCACAACAACCTCACTTCTTCGGCCTTCATCGCAGCCACTCATTCCAGCCTCCGACGATGCTCCCGCTTCTTCCGGCTGTGGTTCGACGCCTCGACGAGCGCTGACTTGCTCTCACCCGACATTGCGCCGGCTTTCACCGCAGCCAACACTTTGACACCGTCTCTTCAGACTCCCTCCCCGTCGAGCTTATTGTGTCTTTATAATATCGAGTCTTTTTTGTCATGTCTTGTTTTATGTTTTGATTTGTGTGGTTTCTTTTCTTTCTTTTGAGTCATTGCTGTAACGGTCTTTCAAGTTATTAATAAATTTGTGTATTGCGTCGTGATTTGGGTTAACTCTGGTATCAACTTGTCTAATAACTGTCAAAAGGTGCTTGATTTCTTTTTCTAGAATGAAGAAGGGGCATCCCTTCTCTCTGAGATGTTGTTTTTCGATGTTCGATGAGACACAACTTCCTCTTGAAGTGCTCGAATCTTGATTTGCCTCGAGTAATTTTCCTATTATCTTCTTCAGCTATATTTTACTTGGCCTAATTTAAATTCATGGAATTTATTCACCGTTGAATTTCTTTTGCCCTGTTTTTGCAGTGGAGATGGTATGATTTCATTTAAGACTGTCTATTTGTTAGAATTTAAACCTGTATCTGGAATAGCGTACCCCACAAATCATGCCGTATAGCTTTGCATACAGCTTTATGTTTAAATTGATTTGTCATTTTTTGATCTGTAACGTCAGTTTTTTTCTAATAAAATTATCAGAACTTTCAATATCTGCTACATGGTAGTCGGTTGGTTCAAATATGATTTCAAAAGCAAAATTAGTGATATGAAGGCTTTATGATCCCATCTAAAGTACGTTGCACTTGATTTATGTGAATATATGAATAGGCAACAGGTGGGACAACTTAGGTCCATGCGGCTTATATTATAATGTCATTATATTTTGAAACGAATCCTGCAATATGTTCTTCTCTTAAATGCTGAATCTATTGAGGAAATCCAGTGTTTAGACGAATTATAGCCAGCTTGTTTGTGATTTGTACTTATTTGGCTGTTTGACAGACTTGTAATAGGAACCAAAGCAGTAGATGCTTGTCAGCATTATTATTTATCTCTATACTTATTTTTTTAGGGATACATTCTTAGAATATTTTTGTTGCAGGTTATTGATCGTTATGAGAAAAAATTTGGGGCAAGGCACTATCATTTCTCAGCTGGAAATGTGAACTTCATTGTTGTTGATGCACAAACACTAGATGGTAAGGAATTCATTGACCAGGTTTGCTCCCATTGGACTGGTATAAAACAGCAAATCCAGATGAAGATATTAACCTCTCATGCTTCCCCTCGAAAAATTCTCTACTCTAACATGTTTAATTTTGCTATTATTTTTAAGTTTTAAGGATTTTGTGCTCCATTTGAATTGAAAGCACTGTATGCTAATGGTATACGCTAGGGCTAGTAGACTTTCTGCAATTTTCTTTTTAAGTATACTTCTGCCAGAAAATCAAGTTAGCTAGCTCGCACTACTTTTGAGATAAATGTTTCATTAATTAGACCCTACATTGTTGGATATGGCTTTCGGTGTTCTTGATAATTACTCTGAAATTTTCTAAAACTAATTTTTATTTCTATGGAGATGGAATTGATTGCTAATACACTACATAATTAAATGCTATATTAACAATTGATGCTTTTAGAAGTGATGTTTTGGATGGCATATATCTATGTGTGTTAAAATATCTGATAGGCTTCTTTAAAATTATAAGTTTTTAAAAAATGCTTAAATCTTGACAGGAACTCCCAAGTGTTGTCTTAATTCATCTTCAGTAGCATTAGACTTATCCCAACTATTTAAGGCGGGCTTTGTAAATCCTTAACTCTCTTATCATTTTCTTGTTCAGTGCTGTTTGAGGTGTTAAGCTAATTTTTTTCAATTTTTGTCCATGTTACATTTGGTGTACCTCTTTTTGGCCCTTATTCTTCAATAGTAATTTTATCTATCTTATGGGTTCGTTTTCTGCTAATTTCTGTCCTCAAGTCAAATTTTCACTACATAGTTTCAACAAAGGCTAATCCCGTCATCTTTTTGATATAATTATTTGTCATTTTATACATATTTTTTTTATTTTTTGCCTCACATATTTCTTAAAATTTTGATTTATACAAGCTTGATTTAACAACTTGTTAATTTTTTTATTGCCCAAACTCGAATCTCTATGGATGTTATCTTTCATTAAGTAACCTTTTACTACTCTTCCGCTTATTCTAATATTGAATTTCTTTCAAGTGTTCCATTTCCACCTCTCGCTCTTGTTTTTGGTCCTCCTCCACTATAGGTTTATACTTCTAGTCTTCAACAACCTCTTTCCATTCCGTCTTCTATGACCGGCAATTTGTCTACTTCTGTAACCTTAGATCTCCATCTCTCAATTTTTATTTGGAATGGCATACAGCACTCCCCTCTACATACTCTTTTATATCTCTTTTTATCCACATATTTTCATTATTTTGTCTTGTATCTCTCTACAATTTTTATTTTTAGAAAAAAATCAAGAAGCTTTGCTGATTCTAATTTGAAATATGTAATGGGTATTGAAATGCGGGATCTTCTTAATCACCACACTTGGGATTTGATTGCTCTCCTTGTTGTTGTGTCAGGGTCTTCACGGTTAACTTTCATCAAGAGGGTACTATCAATTGTTAGAAAGCCTGATTGGTGGAAAAAGAATAAGAAAATGCTCATTATATTGACTATTTTGAGACCTTTCCCCTGATGGCTTTGTTGAACTCTTCTTTATCTCTTTTCTATGGTCAATATATCAAAGGTGGCGTTTTTTCTAGATGGATTTTAGCAATATTGTTTCTAAGTTGATCTTCCTGTTGTGGTTTAGATGAAGCAAAGTTTCAAGTAATATTGCTCAGGGGATAGTTTATATGAAGCAAAGTTTCAAGTAATATTCCCTGTTGAACTCTATTTTAAGGTGTGTCAGTCACCCTGCTTGTAAGGTGTGCTAGTCACCTGGTAATGTTTCTCCACCTTCAAAAGGTAGGGTCTGTACATCAGAAAAGGGACCAATATGGCTGCAATTGAACTATATTACTCATAGAAGACCTCAGTTTTCCAAGATATCTTGTCAATGTGTGCTGTTCTTGTTCTACCAACTCACATTTCAACATAAAAAATCAACCAAGCACTCTTCCATAGAAGTTTCTTTAGTGCAGGTTGTAGAGTTTTTTTGAACATGCCCTATCAATAATGTGGGGGAAGGTATTTGCGCTGCATATTCCTTTTTCACCTTGGACCACATATTGATCTCTCTTTCCTTCTCGCCGCCGAATATGCTTCAAGTTCTCCCACTACAATGAAGTATTTTTTCCGAACTTGATGACTGCTAACTCTTTTGCCACATCCTTGTATTAAAAAGTTCACTCCACTCTTTGAAGCCACTCGACAAACTCATCTGGAACGATGTGATACAATAATTTCACCTTTACTCCAAGATTCCGACTTCTTTGATATCCCATGCCAAATCTTCGAGATAATAGTGCATAGTTGATGCGGGTTTTTTGGTATGCGCTGTCAGTATCTTTCAATACTACAACACACACGACAACACAATTAGTAAATATGCTGATCAATCACAATAAAAATCACTTCAGTATAAATAGTTTTATATTTGAAAATCTTTAAACTGTCAAACCTAATAATTACATAAGTATACGTATCGCTCAAGTAATAAAGGGCTCTAATGAACTCCTAAGTATCGATCTCACGGGAAGGTGGAGATTTTTATGGTTATAATATAAAACACAATATTCAAACTATAAAAACTTAAGTAAGAAAAATAAGTCGAAAATAAGTTTAATGTATGCTACTGAAAATATAGCTAAAAGAACTAAGTTAACTAAACTATTTTCTAACCTGAAAAATTAAATTTATTAAAACTAAATAAGATTTTGTAACGAAGTGTTCAAATTTAAAAAAAACATCAGTCTCATTTATAATGAATTTATAGTTAATGAAGTAATTAAAATCATTTAAAATTATATATAAAATTGCATTGTGCCAAATATGAGCAATCCTATTCTTTACCATATGTCAAGTGCATTAAAAACATTGATTAATCCAGAGTTTGGTCTCTAAATCCGTGATTAGGCTGAGAGGATACTGACTCCCACTCTTGAGCTCCCACTTCTCTCTCCCCCAAGGGTTAACAATCTGGCTTTAGTTTTCAAGCAACTGGACCAAATTTGGGATTTTTGTCTGTCACTCAAAATCTCTAATTCTACGTCCATCAAAATATATTTTTCTATTTATTTGCACTCAATCTCATGGACTACATTCTCATCCATGAAATTGAATGTGACTGTCACATTGTTGTAGAAAGCATAAATCTTTTGGATCTTATATTTTTCAACAAATTTTAACATTTCAATTGACCAAATTGAAAAGTAATTGAAGTTCAGAGTTTGAATTATGACAATTTATTGATATTTAAAACCTTGCACAATAATATTAATTCTTCACAAAATTATATCTCATTGTAGGGAGAAAGATAAAAAAGACTACCAAATAAGACTACTTAGAATTCATAAGAAGATATGACAAATCATGAATTATATATATAAAAACAAGTTTACAAAATAAAGAAAGGAAAGAAAACAACTTATCTCACACTCAAGCAAATCCCTTGAATTTTTCTTTAAACACTCTCTCTTTACAATCATACTCAATTCTTTCTTAGAAATGTAATGAAGAAGGAATCTCTTACATTTCATCTCCCCTTACAACTCTTGAAGAAATTCCTCTTCAAAACCCAACTCTTCTTCAAAGACTCTACACGCCACACACGCTAAAGACCTCCCTGGACTTCTTAAGAGTGGCGCCGGGTCCTCTTAAAAAATTTCATCTTTTTTCTCAAGAGACACACCTCTTCACACCAAGAGACAAATCCCTTTATCTAAAAGACATATCTCTTCATTCAAGAGTCTTTCCAAAGTGACTAGATGTATTAAACCACTCTATGGGGCTTCTGAATTACTTGAAGCCTTCTAGAACATCTAAAAAATAGTCAATAACCGCCAACAATTCGTCACAATTCGTCTAAATTCGTCTCTGGATTTTGGCTCTTCTGGCTCCATTCTAGCGCCTCTGGCGCCAGTTCTGACGCCATTATGCTGAAAATTTGCGTTTTGACTATAAATTTTTTCCTTTTTGCTCTAAATGCCTAAAATCAATATACTTCCAACAAAGCATGAAAATACCTTCTTTAATGTGCAATATTACTAAATTTAAGCATAAAATGTATACATAAAATTGTACATTTTTTTGTGTATCAGCAGTCGCTAGAAATTGCTTAGTAAAAGGGATTTACTTCATACCCTCGATCCGACAAATTACAGTTATGGCTATGGGTAATCTCACCAGGTTGTTTTCTCTTGAGAATGATAAATCTCTGTAGCAGTTGGAGGATTATCGTTGCTTATCCTCAATAGTTAGCTCTTGGACACCTCTTTGTGGATTTCTTCTAGGTGGTTGTCGGCGATAAAAAGTAGGGTTGGTGGTGGAGTTGCACGTAGGAAGCTGTCGGTCATCGAAATCGAAATTCTGTCGCTTGCTTCGGAAGGAAGCTTTAATGTACATATAGATTTAAGTTTAAAATCAAATATGAAAATAAAACTGACCCCATATTTTTCATAGTTTAAATAAAAGAGCGCTTTACCTCAAACCCTGTATCTATCCCGGGGGATAAACACAAGACTTGAAGATGAGACTCGATCAAATCAACTAAGAAATACATAACGTCCGTTTGGTCTGCGAAACCGTTTTATTTGCCGATAAATTTCCCTATTTAATATGAAAAATTAAATATGGTTTATTTTAAGCTGTGTTCGGAAAAACTTCCTATAAGGGCAAAACCCCTATAATTAATTACATTTTAAATGATCGAAGTCACTTAAGAATACTCTTGATAAAAATCAGAAAAAATTATCTTCAAGGACTTCAAAAGGATGAGACTTTTTAACGAAATCAGACAAAAAAGTGTGAAAGGGGAATGACTCAAATTTGGAACATTTATTACAGAATCCAAAGGAAGAAAAACTAGGGATGCCACAGATCCAGAGGAGATCCTCGGTGACTTCCCAGTCTACCCTATGGTTCGGCTTCAGTTTCGAGGAAAAATATTCAAGTGTTTCATCCTGCCAATTTTATTTATTTAGAGCTTACATTCGTGTGAAACAATCACATAAATAG